TGACAATGCTATCAGAGAATCTTTTTGTCATCTAGTAAGGAACATATGTTATTTGGAATCTCAAATGATGTATTTGAATATTTAAATGCTTCAGATTCTTTTATTTGACATGCTAAATAAAAACTAAAATTTGTCCGAATCTATGATGTGTTGGTAATATAAAGTTGTTAGATATACCATTGAGCATTGGACATGCATGAGTGGTATGAGTTGGTGCCTTTGTTGTAGATAGAGGGCCATCTTCGTTGCTTTCCCGTCACTTTTCCCTCTCCGTGTCTCACTAGGGCTCATCGTTACGCCATATATACTTTGGTAGGGGACCTCCATTTTATCCCAAATTCAAAGGAATAAAATGTAAGTTAAATGAAAATTTTAAATTAAGTATATAAATTTTTAAATTTATACGAGTAATTGTCAACACATTAATATATTTTTATTAAAAGTTATAATAAATATAATAATAAATGAGTAATTAGTATTTTTTTTTTCAACCATATTATCCTATTAATTTTTCTAATATTTTATAAATACAAATAAATAAAAAAGTAAAAGTCTCAAAAACATGCAAAATATTCAACACCTTGTTATTTAATAAGTAATAAAGTTCATTAGAGAATTTAAAATTATTCATTATAAGAGATCATATTTAGTTGCTTTTATACACAATTGACGGCAAGAGAAAGTGAAGCACTGTGTTATGATTAAACATGCTCTAAGTAATCAACTTTGCTAAATATTAATGAACTACAGATTAGAAATCTCTCTCTCTCTCTCTCTAGTTAGCTTGCTTCAAAAAAAAAATGGAATATCTAAGGAGAAGTTCTGAGTGTATCCTCAATCATCATGAGCATATTAGACATACAAGCTTCCTACTCATCTTTTGAATAGGCCAACTCTGAAATCCTTCCGCTGACACAATGTACTGAAGAATCAATCAGACATCGAAACTAGGATTTGAAGACAAAAATGGTTATCGCAAAGTCAAGCTATATCAGGAGGAACGGAACCCACCGTTTCAGAAGGGAAGAAAAAAATTATTTCACACGAATACTTTTTTACCATTTTTTTTATAACTTACTTTGTAAGTTATTAATTAATAATATGTCAATTAAGTTCTATAGAACTTTTTCTAAATGCTTAAATAGGACACAATATTTTAACATTTACACACAGTTGATGTTTTCTGTTACCATGCGTATCTGATGATTCATGATTCAGATCCATATGTGACTGTGAGGTGCCATAAATATATGGGTGTACCCCGAAAACAACATTAGAACTAAGCCTACAGGAATTACAATGTACTCGACTCATCAAGTATGCAACATGCTCACAAGTCACAACTCATCATAACAAAGAATGTTAAACAGTAAAATTAACTTTGTAGAACCGACTAACGCATATCTCATTCAGTAAAAGATCATGCATGTTAAATTTACTTAACTTAATTAAACACACAGAAACTTTAGGTGCTTGCAAATGCCTTCATCGGACCAAGAAGAATAATTAAGTACAATGCTTGCATCATATGCCATGTTTCTTTTCTTCTGGTACAGTTGTAGTTTGATGCTAAACCTTAGAGGCAGAATTGTCATATATACCAAACTCTAACTCTTGTATCAAAACTAGAAGATGAAGAAGAAAATAAATAAATAAATAAATAAAATATCCCTTTACCCTTTAACTCATGCTTTAGATATTAGCATTAGTACCTCCATGCTACATTAAAGTTAGAGTATAGTCATTCTTTCACACTTGTTTAGAGTGCTGAAATATTTTTTACCATGCCACTTTAGAGAACTCTAAATGATGTCCCCACTTTGTTAGTTCTTGATGTGATATATAGAGAAAAAAATAATATAAATAAACTTAATATAAAGTATTTAAAAGAATAATTCAAATAACAAAATTTGTTTAAAGTACTATTATATCCCCATGACCCATGCATGGAAAGCTATGCAAGAAGAGACGTCATCAAAGTTAAAAATGGGTGTTTCAAGATTAAAGATGTAATAAGGATGAGTTCGTAAATATATGAAGTACACAAAAATAAAAGTTTATTTACGCTTGACCTGTAAAGGTGATCAGGTGAGTGTAGCAGGTGTTTTTATAGAAAAATGAATTTATTCCTATATCTCAACATATTTCTTTCTTATAATAGTTTGATTAATGTCTCTTTTTTAAGATATATAAGATTACTATTAGAATAAAGCGTGCTTGAAATTCTCGCAAATTAAATACCATTAATGAGTTCTCATTTACTAAAGCGTTCTCAAAATTTCACCTCAGTGTCATTCTTTTGCATAGACATACCAAAGAATATGCTTCCTTGTGTTTTGTGACGTCTATGTGCTTCGGTCCATGAACTTAGAAAGCACATTTGTAGGAAGGTCTCTTTGAGAAGAAATTCTCATAGAGTTCATCCTTCCTTCTTCCATACTCTTCAGGAATGGTTGTAGAACCTCCAAAGCGCATAACTTCAGGGAGAAAGGACCCCTACTATTCTCTCAATATTTCCCTTCTTCCTTGCTCTCCAAGTAGCATAGTAGTCTTACGAACTATCTCATCTTCATCATTTTTTCTTATACCTCTTTCTATTTTTTAGTATTGTCTCTGCTTGTAACTTGTCTCTTTCTTATCACTTATGGACACCATAATGGCAAAACCAAGGAACTAAAATAACATGTCTCTACTCTTGAAAGAGTATTTTTATATGTTTGTGTCTACATATGAACTACTTATGACATTGGTTTGTAGTCCATAATGGTTTGACATCTCAATCTTTGCTTAATTTTGCTCTAATGTAATGACTTCATTGATTTCTAACATCCCATTCTTGCAACATAGGTTTCTTGAGCGCCTATGGTTTGCTTGTACTTGGTCGCCTCCTTTATCCAATAAGAGTGCTGCCTTGCCACATGATCCCTTCTTTCCCCTGTTATGTCTACTTTCAAATCACTTATTCAAACTATTAATAAACTATATTTATTTTGATTTCGGTTTTCTCCTTCATATTTTATTCAACCGTCAAATGAGAGATATATGATAAACAGAGGTGTGTAGGAGTGTGATAAATTCGGTGTGAAAAAACTAGGATCCTTTAAAATTAGGGACATGCTGTTGCCCAAAAGATTTTTCTTACTGTGACATGATATGGTGAGAGAATATGTGCTTAAAGGGCCTATATACCTTACAAATAAGGTTCCTAAAGCACATGATATTAGGGACCAAATGATGCATGTGATGGTTGAAAGTTTCGGTCCACTGTCATCCAAACCCTCAACAAAACAAGGTAACGTATGGATGCCGAGACTCCACGATTAGGCAATGCTTTCCCTTGTTAAAGAATGTCACACCCAACTTCATCACTAAACCTTAATATGGTCACATCAATGCAACTAGGGGGTATCATACTTTGATGATATAATAGCAGACATAAGAGAATTCTTTAATAAAGGAACATATAGTAGGACCATAATTTCATTTTACAATGTGTTGATAACATGATGGACTGAAAGGAGTGGGAAGGGTATCACATGGGTGATACTATGTGATGAAATCAACCCATGTTACTGTTTTGGGGTCCCTCCCTCCTTTTTGATAGTTACTGGGCATTAGTACTCAAACCGTACACCACAACTTGTTTTTAGGTTTGCTCTTGAAGGAGTGTGTACGTTCATCAATTCTTTTCAAATGCCTCTTTGATTTATTACCAGATTAAGAAGCCAAGCACTTTTGATCCCTCACTGTAAACCCCCAACAGTTGTTCCATGACCAAGATTCCTAGCCCACCCATGTTGCTCTAACTGACATTGTTGTAGGGAATACATCATCTCACCATGTTTCTCTCAATCATCATTAAAACTATTCAACAGTTTAAACGGGTGACTTAGATAATGACTTTTGAGGTTGAATGAGTGCATACGGTTCAAAAGCTAAGAGGATACACCAATTGTTAAGGAGTGAGATTTACTACCTGATTTTCCATTTGAAAACAAACAATGTAACGAATATTATTGCATAGGCATTTTCCTGTAATAGGCACTGTCTTTAGAGAGTCACGTGGGACTTGAAATATGCTCATATTTTAATAGAGTTTTACCATAAACATTGTCAACACAACCAAGGCTTATTATGACAAAGAAAAGGACTACCTCATAAATTTGGATATCGACGGGGAAAAGAAAAACCACACCAATGCCGTGACAAAATTTGGTAATCAAAATATTAATACACAGTTTTAAAACATGGAAAAACATGTAAACATTAATCCATCTATAAATTATAAATTATGTTAACTTCACCTTTTAAAATTAAGTTTAAGTATTTACAAATAAAAAAAAATACATAATTATTATATTGAATTTATAAAAATATAATAAATATTTTTTTAATAAAATTTTATTATTATTAACTGTTTATACTGTTAAAATTTGAATCCAGATATTTTACTTTTTTTCATTTGTTGTTCTAATGATTCCTTATAATTAAGACTAATCTCTTTCGAAATATAAATATCACTTTTTTTAAAATTTCTTTTGAAACATAAAGCACTAAGTGTGACTCTTGGAATAGTGTTTGGGGTCCACGGTTTCGTTGGTAACCCCACGGCTAGCTTTTTCTGCTATTTATCTTTTTCTGGCGTCTGTTATGCTAATCAAGCTTCTAATTTTTCCGAAACGAATTTTGTTTTCGGGGCGTTCTATGAGCACAAAAAGTTAAAAATAAATAAAATAAAACAGAAACACTAAACCAAAAATAAAATATTAAAAAGAAAAGAATAAAACAGCAAGAAGCGCCACATAGATGGGAGCACAGAAGGACAATGTCCAACATAACTAATAACTATAATAACTAACTAACATTAGGACATTCAGAAATTTCAAATACCAGTCTTCCAATCATAAGGGTCGAAATCCTAAAATAAAAAACAAAAACTACAGAGAGAGAGAGAGAGAGAGAGAGAGAGAGAGAGAGGGATAATAATAGTAATCCAAATTCTATTCAGAGACAGAGAGAAACAGAGGGAAGCTCAAATTAGCTAAGCCATCACCGAAAATGTCTCTATTCCCACTTTGCTTGCACCTGCTTCTTGGCCTTGCGAACTTTTTCACTCCCATTTCACCTTCCACGTTCTCAACACACTCTTCCAACTCATCCTCTACCCCATTATCTTCTTCACCACACCCTTCTCCTTCTTCTTTCTTCTTCTCATTTTCACCTTCATCTTCCTCATCAACACCTTCTTCACTATCACCCACTTCTTCTTCACCATCAGAAACAGAAAAACTCTCAAACAAAGAGAGCCTGAGCCTTCCATCACCACGCTCTGCATGAAAATAAGGGCGAGGGGAAGGAGAAGCAACAGCTTCCAATATAAGCCTTCCACCTTCACGACGAGGCATAACATGAACCCCACCAAGATCAGTGATTGAAGTCAATGGTGGTGGAAAGTTGCAAGCTCTGTTCACCCTTTTAGATTCACAATTGGTGTTAAGAGTAGTGGTGTTGCTAGTGTCAAAGTAAAACAAGGAAATTTCATCACTGCTTTCACCAGCATTGCTACCAGTCTCGCTTCCAAGGCTTTCAGTGCACATTTCCAAGCTCTTTTCACTCAGCATTGAAGAGGAACGCTTAACGGTGGGGTGGACATAGACTTGTTCCTCTGTTTTGTTGTTACAGTGAGAGAGAGATTGAAGGAAACTCCAACCACCCACGTTGGGAATTGTGTCCTTTGTGTCACATTCATTGTTGATGAGGGGTTTCTCAGAGTTTGAGGGTGAAGAAACTGTGTTGGTTTTGGTTATGGCAGAGGCAGAGGGTTGAGAAAAGTTGGGTGGTGCGAGCTTGAGGCTAAGTACACGTGGTTCAATCACGCGGGGTTCGAGACAAGATTGCAAGCCTTGGCACACACTTGAGGAAGACATCGTGCGTTATCCACAATGGAAATGTGAAAAGCAGGGGAAAGGGGGAAAACAGGGGAGTTGAGTTAAAAACTTAAAAATGCTGAGGTGAGGAATTTACGAGTGGAGAGTGAAAAGAGAGGATGAGGGTGTTAAGAGAATCATAGTTTTATTGTTGAGTTTTGGCTCAAATTGAAGGTAATGTAAAGTTTCTTTAGAAAGAGAAAGAAGAAGAGGAAGAGAGAAGGGAATGGACATGAATGAGAAGTGAAAACGGTGGGTCTCAATATATAGTGGCAACGGTAAAGCAACCTTTGTAACTTCATCATTGTACGTAGTGCGCAAAGCAACTATTTTATATATATATATATATATTATTATCGCATTTTTTTATTTTTTATTGTTTCTCACTGTCCATTTTACACCCCTTTGATGAATGTCAAATCATAACCTTTGTGTAAAGTCCTAGCTCTCTAAAAATAGGAAAGTAATTTTAAATCTTGACTAACTTAAATAAAAATCAAGCATATTTATTTAAAGAAAATTAATCTCTCATGATACAATTTTTTTTTAATAAAACTTACCAAAATTTATGTCCACAAAAATATACCAGATCTTTATCATTTCAACTAATAAATATGGTTACGAATTAATGTAATATTAATAATTTTTTCTGCATTGTGTGTTTATTAATGAAATAAAATTATATTTTAAATAAAAATAAAATATATTATATGATCATTATGAATTTTAAAAGAATAAATATCTTTATCATGTTAAATATGACTAAATTAAAGGAAGAAATCATAAAAATAACTCTAAAAATTTACTCTAGAATGAAACTCAAATTTAATATATAACCTGTCTAAAAGCTTTATATATTTTTGGATAGTCTACATGGTTTTCTTTGATTTAATGGATGATTTTGAAAAAAAAAATAATGATTGATGATTTTAAAAATCAATGTAGTTTAGTTGTAACAATTTGAAAAACTACTTATATGATATTATTCTTGATAACTTTCCTAATTCAAAGATTTGATTACGAAAAATATATGAAGTAAAAAATAAATTAAAATTATCTATCTAAAAATTTCATGTAAATTTGAGCTCAAATTAAACTTGAAATCCTTTTTTCTATTTATTGTAATAATTTGTAAAGTAATTCATATAAATTATAAATTTTCATTATTGGTAAAATTTTATACGTAGAAACCATTTGAATTATATTTTATTTTTTATTGATAAAAGAATGAAACACAGTTAGATAGGACAGAAGAAATCATGTATTCTTTTGTCAAATTAACGAGTAGGAATAGTTAAATAATTTTTAAAATTGGTTTAGAAAAAATTTATAATAACTTAGATGAGACTTTATTAGTAATGCTTTATAAAAAAATTATTTAAATGATAAGCTAGTTAATTTTTTATTATTATTTTATTTTTATAATAGTAATACTAGACATTTCAATCCATTTAGATGTAGTTATAAGTGTAATTTAATTTCTCTTTATATTTTCATTAAGGTTTACTTACTTAATTTATGATTAAATTCTGATTGAAAATTAGTCTTCCTTTCATTTTAGTAGTCTTACTCGCAAGATTTTTTATTATTTTTTTTAATGATATTATTTTATTACCAAGAGGTTATATACACTAGGCCAATATTATTCATAATGTATTTTTTGAATTTTGTACTACATCTAGTATAAAGGTTTTAAAGTTATTTCTCAGTTTGGTAGATACCTTAATATTCCTATTAGTCATGAGAAACTCTTAAGGTAGAACTTTGCATTCATTAGGATTAAAATAAGACTTTTCTGATAGAAAATGCATTCTCTATTCTTAGTTGGTAGGGTTATCCTTATCTAGTCTTGTATTATGAATATTCTCTCTTGTATAATGCAATTTATGCTTATTCCTAGTGTTATGTGTAAAGAAATTAATAGGATTTGTAAAAGTTTTATTTGAAACAGAAATGATACCTTATTGGTTGGAAAAAGATTTGTAAGCCTAAATCTAGTAAGGGCTTGGATTTTAAAGACCTTTATTTTCTTAATAAGGCTTATCTAATAAAATTGTTTTGAAGGCTTATTAAATTCTCCAATCATTTATGAGGATAGGTCATTTGTAAGAAATATAAGTTTAGTCGTGGTAAGAAACCTGAATTAGGATACAATCAACAGAGTTTTAACCTCCAAAAAAATATAATTTCTGTTTGGGATTCTTTTTCCAAATGATTAGGTTGGATTGTTGGAGAGGGTTTATTGATTAAATTTTTGAAGTGCTAACTCGATTTTTCATATTCATGAATCATCCAAGCATGCTTTTTAATCTTTTCAAGAGGAGGATTTAGATATTCCAACACTTTTTTCTCTTTCTAGAGTAGTTAGGACTAGCCTAGGATTAGTATTATGCTCCTTGCTCCTGTTTGTGACTTGAATGATAACAACATTGTCAAACAGTGTCCTCTTCTTAGACATCTAAAGCTTAATATGGATGATGCTTCTTGTAAAACTCATGGAAGTGCTAGTTGTAGTGGTCTAATTTGAGACAATAAATGTCATCTATAAGCTGGTTTCCAAGTTGTTTAGTTTCTTGTTTTCCCTTTGCAAATAAGTTATGAGGTATTGTTTTGGGCACAACTCATTATCTAGAAAAATATTCAATTAATCTGAATTGAAACTAATTCAAAAGAAACTTTATCTTTAGTTTTAAATATTTAGGACTATAACCACACTTTATTTTCTGTAGTCAGTGAATGATATTAGGAACTTGTTAAAATGTATTTTTTTTATTAGGTTTAGTCAGATTTTAAAAAAAGTCAATCAATATGCAGATAAACTTGTAAGAATAAAGTTAGAAGATTGTGTATATTTTTTTTTTGTTTTGACAGAGCTTCTTTCCTCCACTTTCATTACTTTTTTTTTTTTAATTTACATTCTTTAGGTACCTAAACTCTTAAAATGATTATGTAATCTCTTTGTCATTGTTGGACTTTTAGTCTCGTTAAATAGCACAAAAAAAAACTTAAATTAATTTGAAATATAAACTTATCTTACTTTTTAGACATATTCTTACTTTTCAATGTGTAAATTAAAAGAATACATTATTGAAGTTATTATTTGCACACTCCTTAAATATTTAATAAACTTTTAAAAATATAAAATTAATTAATTCAACTATTGAATAATTTTATATGATTTTAAATTTTATGTAATTTAGACATTTGTAAATATATATTCAAAATATATTATTTATTTATATTTTAAACATATACTATTTATTAAAATAAAGTAATATGATAAACTTTAACTTTATTATACTTAAATCAATATTTTATAAAATATTTCAATCGACTCCCTTGATTTTGTATTACTGCTTTACTTTTGTTCAATTAGTAAAAGTCTGACTATGTCATTTGAAATTACGAGTATATGAAGTTAAAAATTAAATTTAAATTATTTATCTAAATATTTTATACGAATTTGAGCCTGAAATAAATTTAAAATATGAATTTTTATTGTTGGTAAAGTTTTATATGTGAAGGTGAAGAATTGTATTTTATTCTCAATTGTGAAGTGTGAAACACACCAAGACACAGTGAAATCAGACAATAAATTAATTCAAAATATAGACTTTTACAATGGGGGAATAATTTCACACGTATTCTTACTTTTTATAGTGGAAATTAAATAATTACATAGTAGAAATTAATTATGTGCACACTTCTTAAAAAACAATAAGGATACAAAAGCTTAATTTTATAATTAATAACAGTAAACTTTTAATTTAAAGTGCATTTAATATACAACTTAAATAAATATGATTTTATGTCAAACTTCAATCAACACTTTATAAATATTTCGATCGTCTCCCTCGATTTTGTATTGCTGCTTTACTTTTGTTCAAAATCTGACTCTCTCACTTGTGATGAAGAACAAGGGAAGTGAGAATTTTACGATGAAAACTCAATTTGAATATGTGACACCAGTGGGCATCTAAAGTGCATTGCAACATGTTACTTAGCATAGTTAAGGTAGCATGTGAATGAAACTTTTGAATAATTATAATTTCTCTAGATTAATTCTTCTAATATTTTTTAAAAATTATGAAGTGATGAGAAAGTATTCAATTAACTGTACATTTTTAATAAGGTATTAAATACATTTATTTATTATTTATCATTTTTAATATATACTAATATATTTGTCATGAAGATATAATAGAACTCGTGAAAAGGTTATGAAGAAATATAAAACTCTATATCATTGTACCTTTTCACTTTTAGAATTTACAGTTAGTTTCCTGCCTCATGCACGAGTAATGAAATTTATTTTTTTAATTAAAAAAATAATGTTATCTATGCAACAATTTTTCGTAACCATTTCTAAAAAAACGAAAAGGCAAAAATAAAAGAAAAATAACTATGCGATAAAATAAGTGATACAATATGAAATATAAAAAAATTGTAAAAATAACATTAAAATTTTTAAGTGGATTAAATGATTTAAACATTATATCTAACATGTGTTTTTACATTTAAGAAAAAAAAAAACTTTTGAGCTTAAAACTTGAAAAATGCACAATGACTCATCCACATGCCTTGAGGTTAAAATTAACTCAATTAAAAGAATGTGTGTGAAAAGATCAAATTATAAATTATTTGGCTTAGACAATTTCATGAACTAACTTAAAAAAAAGAGAGTAGGTTATTAATTGAAAATACACAAATAGTTTAATATTTCATATCCAACACTGGATCAAGGGTAAAAGGCACGAGTTTTTGTATTGAAAAAGTGAGGTAAAATACATGGAAATGAAAAGTGTGTGAAGCATACATAGTGTGTTTAAATTCACAATTGAATGGTCAAGATTCGTGTTTATTTTAATACTACTTACTCTAAGTTAGATTTATATTTACAAATTTTTCAATGTATTTTCAAACTCACGTTTAGAGGATTAGTCTATTGCGGTGCCAAGAATGGTTTATCTTCATAGAGTAGTTAAACTAATTTGCTGCAG